TTAGTGATATCGTTGGTCTCACCAACACCCTAGCCACATTTCAGTCTCTCATGAATAAGGTTTTTCAACCTTGCCTCTGAAAAAATTTGTCTTGGTTTTCTTTGATGACATTATGATCTACAGTCGTACTGAGACGGACATGTGGAATACTTGAGGACAGTTCTAAAGAAGTTGTGGGAGCACCAGTTGTGCGCCACTTTGAAAAAATGTTCATTTGCACAGCTACGGGTGGAGCACCTTGAGCATGTGGTGACTCGAGCAGTAGCGGCAGATTCATCCAAGATTGAGGCTATGATGAACTGCTCTTTACCTAGAAGCTTGCAAGAGTTAAGCAGATTCCTAGTTCCCACTGGATACTACCGAAAATTTGTGAAGGGGGTACGACACGATAGCATGGCCACTGACGAGGTAACTTAAGAAAGACAATTTCAAATAGAGAAAAGCCAGAACACAGGTCTTGGAACATCTAAAGAGAGCCTTGACCAATGCACCAGTATTAGCACTTATAGATTTCAGTAAACCATTTGTGGTAGAGACAGATGCATCAAAGTACGGATTGGGAGCAGCACTCATGCAAAGCCAACAGTTGATTGCTTACTTCAGTCAGGTGCTCACCGTTAGGGTGAGGCTCAAGTCAGTATAACAGCAAGAGTTGATGGCTATTGTCCTAGCCATTCAGAAATGGCAACCCTATTTTTTGGGGCGATAATTTATTGTTAGAATAAATTAGAGGAGCTTGAAGTACTTGTTGGAGTATAGAATGGTGACTAAGGAGCATCAGATGTGGCTATTCAAGTTGTTGGGATAAGATTTCCAGATCCAGTGTCGATAAGGGTTGGAGAATAAAACCGCAATTGCCCTGTCGAAGAAGGTAGAGGAGCCACAGCTAACAGCCTTATCGATACCCTTGGTCCTCGAATGGTAAGCAATGAGGCGGGAGAGTGAGTTGGATGAAAGACTGAGGAAAATATGAGCAGAGTTGCTATAGGATCCGAACAATCATCCAGGATACGCCTTGAGGGGACAACAGCTACTCTACCATGGGCGCTTCGTATTACCAAAAGCATTAGAGTACATCCCTAAACTATTGCAAAGTTTCACGGCAACGAAATCAAGGGGCACTCTGGGGTGTCAACACATATAATCGTCTGTCGTCAGAGCTTTACTAGGGGGGATGCACAAAGATGTAGAACACAAGGTGGCGCGATGCAATGTGTGCCAGCAACATAAATACTTAATCACGGCACCAAGCAGATTCTTGCAACCCATAGCATTACCGGAAAAGGTTTGGGAAGAAGTGATGATGAACTTCATAGAAGTGTTGCTACGTTCAGAAGGGCTAGCATCGATCCTCGTGGTAGTGGATCGCCTGAGGAAGTACGCACATTTCATTCCTTTATGACAACCTTACACTAAAGTATCAGTCACTATGGTGTTTGTGCGGTAAGTGGTTCGTTTGCACGGAGTGTCGAAATCGATTGCATCAAACAGGAACAAGGTGATCCTCAACCAATTCTGGAAGGAGATGCTCAGGTTCCAAGGAACAGTCCTCAAGAGAAGCACAGCATATCATCCTCAAACTAATGGTTAGACAAATGTGATCAATAGGAGTGTAGAGACAATCCTGCGTTGCTTTGTAGTGGATAGACCGATGTTGTTGGCCAAATGAATTGTGTGGGTCGAATACTGGTATAATACTTCATAGCATATTGCAGCGCAAACTACTACCTTTAATATTTCGTATGAACGAGATCCACCCAACCTGATATACTATGGGCATAGTACTAAACCGGTGTCAAGTGTTGACGTGTAATTGGGGGAGTGGGACAAAATATTGGAAGAGCTCAATGGGCGTCTATTGAGAGCTCAACAAATTATGAAAAGAAATACAGCTAGAAATAGGAGAGAGATACAGTTCGAACTGGGAGACATGGTGAAGTTAAGGGCCTACATGTAAAAGACATTGGTTAGGCAATGAAGCAAGAAACTTTCACCGAGGTATTTTAGATCATACGGGTGACGAAACGCATAGGATCAGTGGTCTGTCGTTTGAAGTTACCACCATCGTCAACATTACATCCAGTCTTCAATGTTTCACAGCCGAGGCGTGCAATCGGAGATCATACACCCTCGTCGTCACTACCCCAATGATGAAAAAGGATATTAGAGGTCGAAGGAGTGCGTCGAGGAACAAGAGAAAAAGAGGTACTCATTAAGTGGAAGGGTTTGCCCGAGTATGAAGCAACGTGGGAACCTTATGAGGTAATCCGAAGGCAATTTACACAATTTCACCTTGAGGACAAGGTGCTTCCTCGAGAGGGGAGTAGTGTTATGTCTGTAACTCAACCGGTCTTGCCCGAACCGGTAGAGCAGCTGGCGAGCCGCACTCCTCAATCGGTCTTGCCTGGACCGATTGAGCAATAGAGGAGTGGCACTTGAGCAAATTGGAGTTGAGAAGGCGCTGCAAAGAGCAACGTCTAAGGGAGTCAACAAACAAGAGGGGCCCACGCTTGCATCACTTATTCTAGGAGGAGAAATTAGAGGAGTTTGGGGGAATGTTTGAAGTGTTGTGATAGAGTTATATTAAGATTAATAACCTAGAGTTTTTTTTTTCCTCAGGCAAGTTTTGTTTGACTGCAGTTTTTCTTTTCTTCATGTGGTGCACTAATGATGTCTAGCGTTTTTGAGAGTCGATCTACCTCTGGAACAGTAGAGCTTCTGTGTATCTTTCTTGTTTTTCTTGGATTTTCATAAGAGCAACCCTCGTTGGAGTTTTCCGCCTACCTATTACAATTTTGACGTTGTTTGCTCGCTCATTTTGGTTCCAAATTGTATCAGCATGCTAAGCAAATTCAAAAAAAACCTATGTGCAGATACCAATTTCAGAATCAAAGCAAACAAATATTCATGAACTGAAAAAAAAATGCCTTCTTAATGATAATGGAAAACATCAAACTCAACATTTCAAGGAATTTCGACTGACTCTTATGGAATTAATTAACAGTGCTCATTTCCTGCAATTGCAAGCCCTTATGAACTCAGGACGCTCTCATCGCACTCAAGAATCAAAACTTCTTATTTTGTAGTTCTTGAACAATAGTACTTGATGATAAAGGTTTCTAATGAATTCTGGATTTTAAAAAAATTAATTCATCAGAGTTTGGCCTAGAGCTTAGATATTACTCTTTAATTCATGAAATGTTGCTTTACCATAATTATTAAACAGATTATCCAGATGCAAAAGCTCTCAGCATGAGAAGCCTATCATAACAGAAAAGCAATAAGTAAATAGAACTTTATATGAGAGATTTACAACTTCAGCAAAATTTCAGAAATAACAGATGGTGCCTCTAATCGGAGCCACGTAGCATCTAAAGGGGTTCTTTCCTCGTGGCTGGTTGTATGGAAGACGAAAGGCAGTTTACATTTACACATCCTCAATCAAATTCCACTCCCACCATATTTGCTTTTACCATAGCAGGCTATTCATGAATATTTGTTTCAGATGATATATTTCAATAAAAATACCAAATTTTCTCCATTTGTTCAAAAAAAAAACACAAAAATTATAATAAGAGAACTAACTGCCCATACGGTGTTTCTTTAAAAGAATGCTTGCAAGTGAGGATTATCTAATAGATCCGAGAACATTACTTGAAATTTCAAATTTTCTCCATCCTTTTATATCGAATAACAATAATTTTTAATAACTTCCCATAAGCATACTTGATTTACACATCAATTGATTTGAATCAACATATCTCACTTATTTTATTTTTATGAAACCAGTAAAAACTATTCAGTTTCTTTTTTTTCAGTGTTTAACATTTTCAGATTAGCCTTAAGTGTCGCTATTTTTGCCACTCTTTGCTCATTGCATATATCAATTAGACATCAATTGAAAATTTGCCACTTTTAACAAATAGCACGATTTTTAGGACCACACATTTCATAAACTGTTTGGCAATGCACTCTTACTTTTTCTTCAACCATTACAGGTAAGAGCGTAGTGTTCAGAAAATCTTTTAATATTCAAAAAGGTCATGCAAAGAGTGTCCTAGAAAACACATTCAACAAAAACCTCGCTATAAATCAAAGTTAAGTAAAATTTAGAACGTACTGAAAGACATTTAGTATATTTAATAGATGATTTCATGCATGCTAATGATCTATTTTCCAGAAAATTATGTGTTCTTGTGTTTCTGTTTTGTAATTAAAGTTGCAGCTAACAACTCGTAAGTGACAGCAACCATTCGAGTAAAGAAATTATCAGACATGTTTCTAAAGAGGTTTTTTGGTCATGTACATATAGAAATTTTGATTAGATGATGTGTGAATTGTGATGTAGTTGGTAATTGGATTTTCAATGAACGAATAAATTTCATATTTAAATCATAGCAAAATGTTGATCAACTGTAAATGGAAGTTGACTAAGTAGTTCCTTGTTCATTTTACTTCACAAACATCATGACTAAAATATGTTAAAGATGTAAACCAACAAAGAAAAATGCTAGAAGGTAGAGCTACAAACTATTAGGCTGCAAAGCATTTCATTCACACTTTCACTTGTTAGATTTGCAATGCATTATATTTCTAAAATAACACGATTTAACGGGCATTTGCAATTTCTTCGAGGGCAGCAGCAAATTGCTAACATCAGTATCAGAATTCATCTTCGAACACTAAATTCTAGCGAATATGCACAATATTCATAGCTCCTGATTTGAGTATTCGAAATTTCTAAGTTTCCGCACAATCATAAAAACATCTCTACAGGCTACAGCAGCCAGTACAACATTCCATTATCAAGCCCTTGCAGAAGCCATATTAGAGCAATAAAAATAATAATAAACGGCCACTATTCCTTCTACTTGAGCATTATGCACGAGATCGAATCAGAAAACTATCAATCAATTTCCCGGCTCGAAATATCTAATGTAAATGTGATCAAATGCCTAGATCACGGCTAGATTCACATATGGAACAAGTAAGAACAATACCGGTGAAGAAATTGGCGGAGCCTAGGATTGTCGGGGCCAATCAAGCGCCTCTGAACCCCAAGCGCGAGTCTATACGTTCTTCTCAGCCCTAAGAAGTAGGCAGTTGCCAAAGTTACCTCCCAAAGCACCATTCTTGTGCTTCTCGCGAGCTCTCTCCTCTGCAGCTATATCTTGAGATGGAAGTTGGCGGCGAGCGCCGAGGAAAAATAGCTCTTCTTCAAAAAACCTCATCAATGACGTCAATTTATAAAGGACGGCTATTTGCTTTTATTTTGGGTAGCGATGGGCTTTAGAGGAGGCCCATATATGGGCAATTTGGGCTGTTGTTTTGGGCTCTATTTCTTTAATATATCTACTATATTTAAGTTCATTTTTCCTCCGCTCGTTATTCTTATTTTAAGGCCAAAACAAGTTTTTTCAGCGAAATTTAGATGCACATCGCATAAATGTTATACATTTACACATCTAAGACCCAAAATTTGTTACATTTACAGCTAGGGCTGTCAAAACTGCTCGTTATTCGCGAACCGCTCGTGTTCAGCTCGCTAAGAACCTCGTGTTCGGCTCGTTTAGGGTTGTCAAAACGACTTTGTTCGTAAACGGCTCGTGTTCGGCTAGCTAAGCAAACGAGTTGAACACGAACAAGCGGGAAGGAAGAGGGGTTGAGACTGGGCTCGCTCGTGTTCGGCTCGTTTACACCCCAATTACAGCACCCACTTTTGTGTCACAAATTTAGGCAAGAAAAAAATGTGCTTTACTTAAAAACAGTCTCAAATGATTTTATTTGATGTGATGTTTAAGGATTTAGTTATTTATATATATATATATATATATATATATATATTATCTTAAATTTTTCAGTTTTTTCATAAAAGAAATCAAATCAAGTTGTACGGTATGTTTCTAAAAAAGAATTATTTGTTTCGTTTGGCTTGGTTATTATAATATTGGTTCCGCTATTTAGTTATAAAATTGATTTATTTGATTTGAAGTCATTAATTTATTTTTTCTATAAAATATATCAAATGAAAAAAATATAATTAAATTAACTTTTTAAAATATCAAATCATGAAAATAAAAAATGATTGATTTGTCATCATCTATTGAATTTCGAATTTCAATTTGTCTGTGAATTGCACTCAAGAAGTAAAGCTTAAGATGAGAGTGGGAGAGAGAGGGGAGTGCACAATAATGAACATTAATCTAATTTTTTTATCAACCTTTTCTGATAAAATGATTCCCCTATTTATAGAAAAATGGGATACAGTATATAAAATTATATGTTTGTCTCTATTTTAATGGGCTGTTATAGGATATTTTACATATATAAACTATAGCTTGACAACGTTAACACTCAATCGACAGGCCTCAGTTTGGCAAGGCATGTTTGTCTGACGGTGTTAAATTGGGGTTACCAATCGGCCTTCGATAGTCTTCGGGTCAGCAAGACTCGGCCTCAATCGACTTAGCTTTGTCGGTCGGCTATTCTAGTTTGGCTGCCAACTATCGATCCCTAGGTGAGGAGCTCATGTTGGCAAAACAAACTCAGTTATCAGGCAGTCTTCAGCTCAAAACTATTCCAACGCTATATCATTCAGAGCAACATCAATCATTATCAGTACTACCAACCAGCACAGATGATCACCATGCATGCTAGAAAGTAATGCAATGAACAACAAAACAAGCACAAAAGAGGAGAAACTTCATTTCACTCCAAAACAATTAGAAAATGAAGAAATTAATCCATAGATTTACATGAAAATCTTTAAAAAAACCCAAATGTAAAAGAGAAGAAAATTCATTACCATGGTAGTACCCCAAAAATATTTTCCATAATTTTCATTGCGCCAAATACGTCGCACTACAAATATTTCGATCAAAACATATAGATATCACTTATATTACACCAAACATGGATTTCATTTTCACGTATAAGAAAACATAGAAAAGAAGTCCCCTATACACTTCATTCAGCATGAAACTAATTTAGCCAATCAAAATAGGAGTATCAATGCTATTTCCTCGTGTAAAAATATCAGTTGTTGGGCTGACAGGCAATTCTCCACTTAGAATCTGAACTCTGAATCTCAGCTCTTTGATATTCATCAGTTCAAAAACACAGCCATCTCCAATTTTTAAATTGTTATCCAACACAAATTGTTTCCATCCCTCGTTTATAAACTTGGCGCTCTGGGACACTCTGCATTTTGCAGCCCATTCTTTTTCGCGGCAGCATAGTATAATCCATGCAGATGATGAAGGAAGAAATTCACTAAAACTTTTTGGAATTTTCTGACAGATAATCAACATTTCATTAGTTTTAAGGAGGAATTAACTGAGCCCAACTCAACATTTATAACAAAATAATACATACATAAATACAGAAAGACAAATACAAACGTCTATACATCGACGCATCGATCCATGCGTGCATGCAACATACCATACGACACACACACACATACATACATACATATACCTTAGACAGATCCTCTATGATTTAACAAAAAAAAAGAAGAAAGTTAAAACAAAAAAAGACACATAATACTGTTAAGTTTATCTCTGTTGATGAACATTATTAAAATATGTTGGAAAGAAAAATAAAGAACAGGGTAGAAATTATCCAAATCTTTATGTTGTAAAATATGGCTTAAAGATTTAAAAAATCTCACAAACTGATAGTAACAAAAAATTACAGTCTAGAGGCTCTTTCTCATCAAATATAAACATTCATCATAAGTAGCATATTAGTTATTTCGAAAGAAATAACATCAAATAGATTTATTCTGTCTTGCACAGCAAAATAACCAAGTAAAATCATAAATTTTAGCCCCCGAAAAAATAGGTTTGAGAAATTACCACTAAAAAACTACGGCAAACACTAGCCGTTCCCATTATAGCTGTGAAATATGGCTTTCCTTCAAGTTGATGGATCTTATGATTTGGAATTGGCTCAGCATGACCTGCAAGATGAAGGTGAAGGGCTAAACAGCTTATATCACTTCCCTCACACTCATCTGATAAGAACTTCTCAGATTGTAAAATTTCAAAATAATTCATTCAAAATAAAAAAGGAATAAATTCAGAAAATAAAAACCTTCAGTACTAGTTTAGAACCCATTGGAGCTTACTTACCACTAAGTTTATTTGATTCTTTGCAACCAGGTTCCTTTTGAGAGCCAGCACATCCCCCATTCTTCTTATGGGAGCTTCCAACTAATCCACAAACCTGAAAGTTTGTATTTAATGAATTAGAAGATACAAGAAACTTTATAAAAATGAGGTTTTTCTTCTTTAATTTACATAATACTAACTTTCTGTCAACACCATTATATTAAGGATTAAACAGCAATTATCATCCTCTACATCCCCAGGAAATATGAGCGTGTAAATGTATGATTAAGTTATTCAAGATTAATTTTTGACAATTAAGCCAATATAAAGAATATTTTTTTCATAAAACTGGCAAATTTTATTTAGCAATGTCCATGAAGGTATAGTTTGTTGCTCGTTTTGTGATTCCTCAAATGATAACGGAGAAAGGCCAGAGCAATTATAACCTCCATTAGTGAAAAGAGTCTAGGAGAAAATATTGCAGCATCAATTCGACAGAAGCTGACTCGTACTCGCCAGCATCCATCCAGATGGCAACAGGATTTTGTTTAATTACATTTAAATATATGGTTGTAACTTTAATTTGTTTCAAAATAGTATTTTTCTTTTAGTTTTTGCCTATAAATAAGCATGAATAGTGGCAATTGGGCATTAATAAGATTAAAGATTTCTCTCTTCCTACTTTCTTCCTTTCCGATATTTCTCTTTCCACCTTTTCCCTTTAGCTCCCTATCATTCCCTATGAAATAGCTTGCAGTAAACATGCTTGTGAAATGTATCCATCAAGGAGAAGTAGAAAATGAGTAAATGTTTGGTAAGTATAACAAAAAAAAGATTTGAAAAAAGAAGAAAAAATATTAAATGCGTGATAGAAACATCCACTTGTTCTCTCTAACACACCCATACCATATCGCATTCTTGCATTAGGATTATAAACAAAAATCAAAATACAAAACCATTTGATCGGAAATATAAGACAACATGTTGTCTCAAAACAAAAAATGAGTTTTGAGTGTCAATTTATGGCACCAAAAAATTGTCTTCAAGTTATATTATAGCAATCTTGTGTTGCATTGCATTAAATGTCCTATTTTTATTATTTTTCTTACACACTAAGCAGTAAGTACCAAAATTTCTTTCACAGGAAGCCACCCATAACTGATTGTTATTTTTTTTTAATCACTCCTCTAAAGTAACTCAACACATAAAACAATGAAGATGGCAGATTATGACTATGCGTCTTTGAATTAGCATCCACAACTCCAAGCAACTTTTTATGGAGAAATCCAACAGAAAAGTTGAGAAAAAACAAAACTGCAGACTTGCGCATTTGTAACTCTAGTAATCTTATTCCCTTAAATTTAAGCAAACAGAAAGAAAACCTAATTATTCCAAAAAACAAGCCAATACAGGAAAAAGACATTAGCTTTTAAATGGATTCATCAATCCCCATTCTACTTTCTTCAAGCCCATGATTCACACGAACAATATAAAACGCACAAAGCCCTAGTTTTTATGACCTGTTAGTCAGTCAATTTTTATGTAAATTGGGTAATGGTTCTGTCAGACTTCTCTAAAATCTTTATAACGGAATATAAGGAAAAAAAAGAAGAAGAAGAAGAAGAAATATCCATAATAACTTTGAACAGTAAAGGTCGGAATGGTTGCAGAACTACCTCCTCTTTGGAGTAGGAAGACAGAGCGCCGTGCATACTTGCAGCGTATGAAAACCCTTCTGATTCGGAAGTGAGAAGCATTTCCATTATTAGTGCATGCGAGTTATTTATTTTTTTTTTCTTTTATTTTGTTTTTCCTCTTTCCATTATTAGAATAATTACTCTTTTTCAAGCACATTCGATCACATGTCACCCAATTTTTATGTCCTTTGTGTATCTAACACCTGAACAAATATATTTACATATATGATACATAATTGTCCAAAGTTTACCATCACATTAAAAATAGCAAAATCAGTATTTTTTAAATAATTGAATAAATCCTTTAAGGAATAAATGTACTACCCTAAGATGTTATAAGTGTAAAAATGATTTTTTTATGCTTGACATGTAAATGCATAAGAATTGTGTGATATGTGTATAAATTTTTATTTTTTATTAAAAAGGGTATAATCTAGAGAGTAAAATATATATTTGATGTGTCGTAAAAAATTATTTTAATCATGCACGAATCTCAAAGCACTTTGAGCCAGAAGGAATTCTAAATATGAAGTGAAGATCATTCAAGCTTCGATTTCACAAACTTATAAACGAATTGAGCGTCTTGGTAAGACGAACCCAGCGAATCCAAACTTGGCCAAACTCGAGTCCAATCAAGCTCATATCAAACCGTTTAAGCATAATTGGAAGCTTAGGATGAATAATCAAATGGATTCTAAATATGAAGCCGAATTTTCTCTTGGTCACAACACAAAAGAAGATCCAAATACTCGCATGCTAAGCAGGATGGGGAGACTTTTCTCTTGGCCACAACGCAAAAGAAGAACTCGTTGCTCGCATGCTAAGAAAGACGGAGACAACTTTCCTCTTCTGCAAAAATCACGCTAGCAGAAGGCTCCACTCTTCATCTTTTTTTTTCCTTCTCCTTTTCCTCACTTGTGCTTCTTCCTCTCATCCACGGGTTCTATTTATAAGTTTAAAAGAAGGCCTGGTATTAAAGGTAATTATTAAAAAAAGATTGAAATCTGCTTAAATTTTTTTTTTTGTTTTCGCTTTTCATCTTCAAGTTTTTAAAATTCAAGCTTCTGGTCTTCCGACTTCCTCATTTCAAATAAAAAAGGAGCTGAAAATCTTTCCATATTCCCAAATTTTAGCCTTCCAAACTCCTTCACAAGAAAAAAAATTCCACATTCAAAATTCATTATAAAAAACAAATCAAAACTTCCTTTGCATTGTCCGACTTCGTAAGCAGCCGTTCTAACTGAATTGCATGGCAGTGTTGTGATGACACACACACACACACACACACACACACACACACACATAATTAAGGAACTTATTGTTTACCATCACGACATATTCACGGTAAGTTCCGTTAATATGTTGTGATGGTCAATGGTAATTTACTTAATAATGTGTGTGTGTGTGATAAACCTTAAAAAACCTGCAGATTTTGAACAATGGTCTCATCAGAACAATCTTCGAGCATAATAAAAATAAAAATAAAAAGTTGCAAATTTTAATATTTTTGGATGATTAAAATGATCTCGCCTGAAAATAGGGAGGCAACTCATACTCCATCAACTAATTCTCAACATCTAGCACGAATCTCAAGGAAAGACGTGTATCTCGAATAATATTTGAGCAATAAATGATCAAAACTTGATAAAAGACATCCAGAGCTTTGATTTCAACAAACTTATAGTCAAACTGCCTAGCTCGATGAAACAAACCCAATTATATCAAAATTAGTCCAATCTAAGTCAAATGAAGCTCAGACCAAGTCACTAAACCGCTCGCTCTTACATATTTTGAAGGTCAAATGAATGTTGAATCTATAGTCAAATCGAGTGTCTCGACAAAACGAATCCAGCGAGCCCAAGTTTGCTCAATTTTGACATAGTTAAGGTAATCAAATATCCACCAAACGCTGCCTGATCGAAGAAAATTCTCTAAACCGTCCAATCAAAGTAATTTGTATTCTTGCATTAATTGCGCTCAGAACATTATAAATAGAGTCACACCCCTCTCATGAGGGGAGGAGATCTTGAAGCCTTGAAGTTTTGAGGAGTTGAAGTCCAGCATCACTCCAGCCACCACCGACCTTCACGGACTACTGTCTACCATCGTCGATCACCGTCGACCGCCGTCGACCACCTCCGATCGTCGTCGACCACCGCCGACAATCGTCAATCACTATCGATTGCCACCTACTTCCATCAACTGCCGCTAACTGTTGTCAATAATGGTTGAACGCCATCGACCACCACCTTCTGGCCTCCACCGAACACCATCAGTCACCGCTCACTTCTTACAATAAGTCTACCCGTGCATTAGAGTTGTAACTCAAAAGAGTGTTCAACCCTTTCCAGCAGTGAGTTGAACGGGCTGAACATGGTTTGTTTCGATATCCAATTTATAGTAGATTTCTTCAGTTAAGCTAGGCCCCGTGATTTTTTTTTAACCTTTACGGGTTTTCTTTGACATCATTACTGATTGTTTTCTCTCTTCTGAGTGTGTGTTGAATCTTTCTATTGCACTAAGATGATAATTTGTTACTCTACTACCGTAAATTTTCTAGCACACATCAGTTCTTAACAAATCTTTTTCAATATTTTTTTTTAATATATTTTTTATAAATCAAACAGTTTGATTCGCATGAATGATTCTATAAATCTTTTTCAAAACCCTAAGGGTTTAGGGTTTATGGCTTAGGTTTAGGGTGTGTAGGGTTTATGACTTAGGTGTGTGGGTTTAGGGTTTAAGGTTTAGGGTTTAGGGTTTAGGGTTTTAGGGTTTGAGGTTTAGGGTTTTTTAGGGTTGAGGGTTTGGGGTTGTTTAGGGTTAGGGTTTAGAGTTTAGGATTTTTGGGATTAGGGGTTTAGGGTTTAGGATTTTTTGGTTAAGGGGTTTAGGGTTTATGATTTTTTGGTTAAGGGGTTTAGGGCTTAGGGTTAGGGTTTAGGGTTTAGGATTTTTGGATCTTAGGGTCAAGGGCTTAAGGGTTTAGGGTTGAGGGTTTTTTTTAAGATTTAGGGTTTTGGGTTTAAGGTTTTTAAGATTTATGGTTCGGGGTTTAGAGTTTTTTAGTTTAGGGTTTAGGATTTTTTGGTTAAGGGGTTTAGGGCTTATGGTTAGGGTTTAGGGTTTAGGATTTTTTGATTTTAGAGTCAAGAGCTTAAGTGTTTAGGGCTTCTTATGGTTTAGGGTTGAGGGTTTAGGGGGTTTATGGGTTTTTTAGGATTTAAGGTTTTGGGTTTAAGGTTTTTAAGATTTATGGTTTGGGTTTTAAGTTTTAAGGTAGGGTTTAGAAATTTTTAGGGTTTAGGGTTAAGGTTTAGGGTAGGTTTTAGGGTTTTTTAGGGTTAGGGTTTAGAGTTTAGGATTTTTTGTTTGGTGGTTTAACAGTTTAGGATTTTTTGGTTTAGGGGCTAGGGTTTAGAGGTTTAAGGGTGGTTTCTTAGGGTTTACGGTTGAGGATTTCTTAGGGTTTAAGCATGTTTATGGGTTTTTTAGGATTCAAGGTTTTTAAGGTTTAAGGTTTTTAAGGGTTTTGAGTTTAAGGTAGGGTTTAGGGTTTTTTAGGGTTTAGGGTTTTAGGGTTCAAGGGGTTTGGGATGGTTTTAGGGTTGATGGTTTAGAGTTTGGTATTATAGAATTATAGGGTTTAGGGGTTAGGGGTTCAGGTTTAAAGTTTTTAAGGTGTTTAGGGTTTTTTAGGGTTTAGGGTTTTAGGGTTCATGAGTTTTAGGATGGTTTTAGGGTTTAGGGTTTAGAGTTTGGTGTTATAGAATTATAGGGTTTCGGGTTTAAGATTTTTAAGGTGTTTAAAGTTTTTTAGGGTTTATAGAGTTTAGGTTTTTTAGGGTTTAAGTTTTTTAGGCTTAGGGTCTTAGGGGTGGGTTTCTTAGGGTTTAAGTTTTTTAGGGTTAAGGTTTTAGTGGTGGGTTAGGGGTTTGGTGTTTAGGTTTTTTAGGGTTTAAGTTTTTTAGGCTTAGGTTTTAGGGTTTTAGGGGTGGGTTAGGGGTTTAGGTGTTTTTAGGTTTTAGGGTTAGGATTTTAGAGTATGGGTTTAGGGTTTATGTGCTTTTAGGGTTTAGGGTTTAGGTGTTTTTAGGGTTTATGATTTTAGAGTTTGGGTTTAGGGTTTAGGGTTTAGGGTTTAGGGTTAGCAGAGCTTAGGGTTTTTAGGATTTAGGGTTTAAGGTTTAGGATTTTAGAGTTTGGGTTTAGGGTTTAGGGTTAGTAGAATTTAGGGTTTAGGGTTTCAGGTTTAGGGGGTTTAGTAGGGTTTAGAGGTTAGGTTTTAGGATTTTAGTAGGGTTTTGGGTTTAGGGGTAAGATTTTGGGTGGGTTAGGGTTACTGAATAATAATGATCTACTAAAAAGCTATTACTATTAGTTTTTGAATTAGTTGATTTGAGTGAATAATAGCCAAATTTGAGCGAAGAATAGCCAAATTTCACGTCCATTATTTATATAACCTTTGACATTTTTATTTGCAACAGAGTAAAGATATATATATATATATATATGTTAAGAAAAGTGGATAATAGTGGATATAATAGTTAGTGTTATAGAATTATAAGGTTTAGGGGTTAGGGTGTCGAGTTTAAGGTTTTTAAGGTGTTTAGGGTTTTTTAGGGTTTTACGGTTCAGGGGATTGGATTTAAGGTCTAGAGTTTGGTGTTATAGAATTATAAGGTTTAGGGGTCGAGTTTAAGTTTTTTAAGGTGTTTAGGGTTTTAGTGGTGGGTTAGGGGTTTGGGGTTTAGGATTTTTAGGGTTTAAGTTTAGGGTTTTGGGTTTTGGGTTTTGGGTGGGTTAGGGTTACTGAATAATAATGATCTACTAAAAAGCTATTACTATTAGTTTTTGAATTAGTTGATTTGAGTGAATAATAGCCAACTTTCACGTCCATTATTTATATAACCTTTGACATTTTTTTTAGCAACAGAGTAAAGATATATATATATATATGTTAAGAAAAGTGGATAATAGTGGATATAATAGTTAGTGTTATAGAATTATAGGTTTAGGGGTTAGGGTTTCGAGTTTAAGTTGTTTAAGGTTTTTTAGGGTTTTAGGGTTCAAGGGGTTGGATTTAGGGTCTAGAGTTTGGTGTTATAGAATCATAGGGTTTAGGGGTTAGGGTTTCGAGTTTAAGTTTTTTAAGGTGTTTAGGGTTTTAGTTGTGGGTTAGGGGTTTGGGGTTTAGGTTTTTTAGGGTTTAAGTTTTTTAGGCTTAGGGTTTTAGGGGTGGGTTAGGGGTTTAGGGTTTAGGATTTTAAAGTTTGGGTTTAGGGTTTAGGTGTTTTTAGGGATTAGGGTTCATGATTTTAGAGTTTGGGTTTAGGGTTAGTAGAGTTTAGGGTTTTAGAGTTAGGGTTTAGGGTTTAGGGTTAGTAGAGTTTAGAGTTTAGGGGTTATGGTTTCGGGTTAGGGTTTAGGAATTTTAGGGTTTAGAGTTTAGTAGGGTTTAGGGGTTAGGTTTTAGGGTTTTAGTAGGGTTTTGGGTTTAGGGTTACTGAATACTATTGTAAGTTTTTTGGTTTAGGGTTGTAAGTTTTTTGGTTTAGGGTACACAAATAGCTTTTTGGTTTAGGGTTTAGGATTTTGGGTTTAGGAGTTAGGTTTACTGAATAATAATGATCTACTAAAAAGCTATTAGTATTAGTTTTTGAATTAGTTAATTTGAGTGAATAGTACCCAACTTTCACGTCCATTATTTATATAACCTTTGAAATTTTTATTTAGCAACAGAGTGGTTAGGGGTTTGGGGTTTAGGATTTTTAGGGTTTAAGTTTAGGGTTTTGGGTTTTGGGTTTTGGGTGGGTTAGGGTTACTGAATAATAATGATCTACTAAAAAGCTATTACTATTAGTTTTTGAATTAGTTGATTTGAGTGAATAATAGCCAACTTTCACGTCCATTATTTATATAACCTTTGACATTTTTTTTAGCAACAGAGTAAAGATATATATATATATATGTTAAGAAAAGTGGATAATAGTGGTAAGAAATGTATTTAGTGCAAATTATATGTAACCTAATGCCTAAACAGCAACCTTGCTTAGAACATTTTCTGTTAAGTTTCCTTCGACGGTTTAGATATTTGTTGTTAATATCTGATGTATTTAGTGCAAATTATCTATAACCTAATGCCTAAACAACAACCTTGCTTAGAACATTTTCTGTTAAGTTTCCTTTGACGGTTTAGATATTTGCTGTTAATATCCGATGTAATTTTATTACATTAATATTCAATAACTAGAAAGCCTTTGTTTTTCATATTCCTAAAAATCACACATGAACTGAATTCATTATATCACACATGAACTGAATTCATTATATCACACACAAGTCAAGAGCCATGAATCCAAATCGCATATGAAGAACTAAAACCCCAAAAGAACAAAATGAAAAAAAAAACCTGTCACTTTCAGCTAAAGAAAGTAAAACAAACACAGCAACAAAAACGAAGTTATATCATCAACTTGATGATAGATGGAAAACCAAAATCAGAGCAATACTTTCAAATCCTCTGCAAACTTGGTAGCTGGAGACTTCAACGCAACAGACCCAAACTCCTCTTTTGAGTATTTTCTGTAGAGCACATAGAGCTTGCTATCTGCCGCAGAAGAATGGTAGCCCACCATCATCTTCGCACACTCCCTGTAACAGGAAAGAATATTCATTCAGATTTGATCAAGTTTTCATTAAAGATGCGGGGCATAAAATACTCAAAAAAAATTTGTTCCCATACAACAAATTCTTCTCCAAGTAGCCAGTATGGTACTCTAGAGTTTTGCTCCACAGTGGAGTCTTATTCAATGTGCATCGAGCGGCATAGACGGCAGAAGCAGCAATCAGAGAAGGGCAGTGCATGGCTATGGAGTAATGCAGCAATGCTAGTTCAGCAAAGAAGAATGTCATGTGTTCCATCTGGATTCACAAAATGATATTTTCACTAGTTAATATTCATCGCAATCGCAATTACAAAAAGTTTTTAACTTTTTTTTTTTTTGCTCGAGGAATAAGGAAATATATATATGAATCTCAATGCTTCTGTACCTCCTTATCAGAAACTGCAGCCTTCAGGAATCTGACAATGAACACATACGGGGTTGGGAATGTCAACTTCCAGTCGAGCTTGTTCAAAATCGCCTTCTCCATTCTAAGTATTTGTTCTCTAGTATAGGCCCGATCCGAAATGCAAATAAAATCATTAACCTGCAATAATAATCACATGATTCCCACTAATTATTCAAATAAAAACATATATAAACAAGAACACATACCTCTGGAGCCCATATTTCTTCATATTTTGACGCAATGAGCATGGCGCTAATACCTACAAGCTGCAGCTCTTTCCTATGCACAGACTCTATGGAGAGAAAGCGGTCGATGATGAACATTGTGAGATAAAGAGTCTCAGGCATCAGTTCAAATTTGTGGTGCACTTCTAACAGCCAATCCACAAGTATGGCTCTCATCTTCGCATTTATTTCGATTTGAGAGCCCATGTAGTCCCGAGGGCTGCACACTTTCTGCATTTTCACGCGACAATCATGTGTTTTGTGAATGAGAGAAACTGTAAAACATCAATCAATGAAAATATAAAGGTGAAATATTTCTTCGGTTTTCTTATCACCTCATGGTGTTTGTAGAACTTGTATAGATCCTCGACGTAATCAACCATGGACAATTCATTCCCTGCATCTGCAGCATCAATATCTACAATCCCACAAGCAACCTAATATAATGGAATCAAAAGAAGGTTGAAATCAAAAGAAGAAAAATATATATTTGGCCTACAAAACTTAATCAAAGAACTACAAATGGATTATAGATACCTTGCTACGAGCTGAAAGCACATAAGTTAGAGAGTGGACGTTCCTCTTTGATGAGGAAGCACGTGGTTTCTTTTTCCCCTGCTTCTCCTTTGGATCTGTTATAGGGCTTGTTATATCTATGACCACCTCCGGCTTTGTATTTTTGATTGCGGGCTTCTTCTTCGCAGCCCCATTGGCAGGTAAAGCTGCTTGCTTTAGAACATTCTGCAAAATTTGAAGACCCGAGAGCTAAGAAATACACAATTTGATCATTGAGTTACAGATGGAAAATTCAACGAAAGAAAAGAACCTTATTAGCGGCACCAGCAGCTTGTGCGTTGGCTAGCAACTGTGCACCAAAACTTCTACATGCAATGCACATACGCGTTAGAATAGATCACGATTATTAAACTCTGTAAGAAAGCAAGCAGAGTGGATAGATTAAAAATACCTCGTTATTGGGCGATTAATTGCCTTCCTGGGAAATGAAACAGATAAAAATATGACATTTAAATAAATAAAAATAATATATGTAAAGAAAGATAACACTGAGATAAATTGCATTATTTTATATTTACCCATCTGCAATACGGAGATTAACCAGATTGCCAATATCTTCAAGAGCCTTCCGGTTCTTAGCATCACCTGGACCATCAGTTACCTTGGCCTTACCAGCCGGCAAGGCACCTCCTGTCAACAAATATAAGAGTAAAGTTTAACAATTATTAGAAACAGAAATACAGGAATAGCAAAAACTAAGAAAAGCACTTGTTAGAGAAATCTTGAAGACGAAATCTTGAAGAAACCCCATAAAATGCATTAAGGAAGTACAAATCCAGGAGAAGGAACAAGGAAAAACGTAGAACAAGTAAAATAGACTAAAAGCAAAAGGTTATAAGGAAAAAAAAACCTAAATTTGCCCGGATTCACGATCATTATAACAATCTAATAAATGAAAACCTAAGATATGTATAAGAAGATTTCATACTCACCCTTATCTCTCTGCTGCGCATTAACAGCAACATGGTTGTTCCTTGTGGCCATCTCCTCTCTTTCTTCTTCTTCCTGGTTCTGGTTGTGCCAGAAGATACTGGAAAACACGGAGGAGAACAAGGAATGAAGGCGAGTGCTCAGCGACTCCCTCCCTTCCGTGATCTGGCTCGCCGCCGTCCCTACTGAGATCTATGCGACAGGGGTAAACGTAATCAAGAAAGCAAATTATTTGCTTCTCCCTTTCTTTCTTTCTCTTACCTTCTGCTTCGTTTAACTCTTCTCATCCCGTTGTCCGATTTTAAAGAAAGGGAAGAAAGCCTTCTTTCTACTTCTCACCCGAGCGGATGTGTAAACTCCAACGGTCGAATTGTTTGGATCATCAGAGCCGTTGCACCTCTTAATCTGACGGTGCTTCGATCGTTCCTTTTTAAGCCGTTGCAGGGCAACAAATAAAGTAATCCAGACCCGTTAAGTTGAACTGGCGGAGCACCGAAATTTGAAATAGTAGTCATCGCAGAGATAGCCGTTGGCCCATTTATTCTGGAATCTGGACCAACCCCTCTGAGAAACCAGAACAGCGGCGTGACCTCGCTGGTGCTGGAGCAAATTAGGCGCAATTTGAGCACGTTAGCAAGTTCACTCAATTGTTTTATATTTTGGGAAATATGTATTTACATATTTAATACAAAATAGTTTATATTTACATTTATAACACCTTAATGCACAAAGTATAAACACATGCATGAAAATTTGCATTTACTTTTAACCAGATAATAATTATGATATTTTTGATGTGATGTTAAGAAATTGAGTTATACACATGAAAGTATGAAAATTTGGTTACAGCATGTAAATACATGAGAAGTACATGATATGCACGTAAATACACCTAAATTTTAACTTTCCTCTTATATGATTTAGATATCACATACTTTAGTAACGAAAAATATTTCATTTTTGTAAATATATTAGAAATTATATTCATTTATCTCTCGATTTGATAATATTGCATGCATTCATTCCATTAACAATTTTTTTTATGCAAATAGGGTCATTCAGTAAATTGTTTAAAAGTTATGTAGTATGTGTTATCTTAAAATTAGATGAAGGGAACTATCAAATGTTATGAATGGGCAAAAAAAAAACATTTGTTTAACGTTGACTTACAATGCGGTAGAGTGCCCAAACATTTATATGGAAAATAATAATCGATATTTTTATATGTTGTTATTCACATTTACCATAGTATCAAAAAATTTGATTAAAGTTGATCCAATATCTTAAGAAAATATTTTTAATATTATGAAAAGTAATAATTAAATTCATTATATTGTATAAAAAATATCACTATTATTAATTTTTGGACGTGAAATGCATACTGTCATACATAGATTCATGACACAAAAGTGCTATATATGTACATATCAAAACTTCAGGTGTTAGATCTATAAATCCAGAGGAATTGTTGTTGTACGTTAGTTTTTCTATATATATATATATATATATGTGTGTGTGTGTGTGTGTGTGTGTGTGTGTGTGTGTGTGTGTAAAGAACTAAGGCAATATAAATACCACCATGCGGGGCCATACCAAAAAACGCCCCATCCGAAAGTAGAAAATATGGCAGAACAATCTCCATAAATCCATAGACATAGTTTAGAGTGACATAATACATCTCTAGATCACCTGCAACTATAATTTCAAGTTAATGGGCAGTTATAAAACTTCAGATTTTGAAGTAAGAAGACCCATCTGCTCTGTGAGGTTGTCCATGTTATGAACCCCATCCCACCCTTGTCCAAGCAGTTTCGTTGTCTCTGTAGCGTCAGGAAAGCCAGAATTAACTTCGTCGGTGTCACCAGAAATCGGGCTTGCTGAAAGGAATTGTTCCCAAAAAGAGTCGACAATACCGGGAAGTATTGTGCCGTCGCCTTCACTAAAGATACGGATGCTCGCATCGCCTGCAAACTTCTCCAACTCTAGAGCAGTCATTCCATCAACTCCAGCAATAGACTGAGCAAGAGCATTTTCTGCTTCGGAGGCTGCATGGCTCATACTCAGAAAACCAATATCCGTATGGGGAATTTCCTCTGGAAAAATGGGTAGTATGTTGTTACCTGGATCTGTAACAACCGAGGGAGATTGTATTTCAGATAAAGGAGACGAAGAAGAAACTGCTGAGAAACCTCTTGAATTTTCTTGAAAGGTGACTCCAGAACTCCTACTTGAAGAACTCCGGCTGCTGTCTAAAGTATCAGATGATAAATGAAGATTTCCATGTTGAATGATGTTATCAGGTTTGCTAAAAGAATCCATACTAGGAGATGATTCTGAGTTTATTGCTTGCGTGAGCATTAACTTGGCAGCCTCTGTCAACAAGGGCTGATACTTAACCATTTGTGTATCGGGTGAGGTGCTTTCTGCCTCCAACTCACCTTGATTAGGTAACCTTCTCTTCTTGTTGCCACCAGAAATTAGTTGGTTATTGGCATTGTTCTGCTGCACCAGCTGAGCTAAGAATTCGGGGCTGTTTATGGCCTTGGCCAAGAATGACATCATTTGTTGCTGGCGCTGTTCCATTCCATGAATACGCTTGTTTAGGGCTTGAAGCTGATGGTCTGTAGTCTGCTGTTGCTGCCTCAGCCTTACGAGTTCCTGCATGAGAACATTTTTATCCCGTTTGAGCCTCTCAATCTCTTCATCTAGACCAAACTTGCCAACCTCAACACATGATGTGACTGAAGGATTCTGGGGAAGGGACGGTGGTTGAGTATGTGCATGGGAGGATTTTTTCCGGTTTATGTTTTTTAAAAGATGTTTCTGATCTCTTAAGAATCCCTCATTTGCGAATTCCCAGCGATCTGGATCAATTTTTCTGAATCCCTGACAGATGAAAAGAAGAGCATCATGTCGAATCTTAAAAAGTGTATGCCGTACACCAAGTGAAACACAAAAGAGAAAAGGCGGAAAAGGATATAACCTCTTCTTTTTCGTTCAAGTCCTGTGTTAAGATTGGAACAAATCCCACATTCTGTGGCCACTTTTAAGAGAAGAGGGATATTTGGATTCCATAAAAAACCCCTGGGTCCACAACTATAATCGAATTTTTTGACAACGACCGAGCACCAAAACACAAAAGTGGCAGAAAAATTATCTAATAGAGAAAAAGAGAGCCCGGCCACCCATTTTGAAAAACCAGTGGGTCATAAAATATGAGAAAGAAGACTTATTGCTAATGATGGAATGCAAAAATAGTAGGAGTCATTCTAGACTCATCTCTATCTGTAGAAAATTTTACATCCGGAGTACGAAAACAGTTTTGCGTGCGGAATTTCAATAATATGCACCACGTGTGCTATATCGCGGAGGTTATTAGAGGGTTATTGCGGGGATTATTGCGAGGGTTATTGCAAGGGATTATTGCAAGGGATTATTGAATAGAACCGCGGAGGTTATTGGATAATTTTTTGGGGATTATTATAGGGGTTATTGAGGTGAGATTGCAGGGGTTATTGAGGGATTATTTTCGGGTTATTGGGGGGCGGAAGTTATTGCAAGGGGTTATTGGGGGGCGGTAGTTATTGCAAGGGGTTATTGCGGGAGTTATTGCAGGGGGTTATTAAAGTGGATCCGCGGAAGTTATTAGGGGGTTATTGATGGGTTATTGCGGCATTATTGGAGTTAATACCTCAATAACCTCTGCGGTTCCACTCCAATAACCTCTACGGTTTTACTTTAATATTTTTTTATGTGCACCCGATATAGCACGCGTAACAATATATTATTGAGGTCCGCATGTAGAGCTACGTCCGGAGTTCGGATACAAAAATTTTTCCTCTATCTACTGCTCATCTTCTCAAAAAGTCCTTAGATAGTTAAGAGGGAAGAAAAACTGCCAGCCCAACCTTCACAATTCCCTATTTGTAGATACCAAGGTTGGAGGTGGGAGCCATTAGCGGTTTCTTTTGTTGGGTCATTTAAAACCCAATGATGCAAGCTGACACCACATTAACGTTTAACACATTCAATTCACAACACTTAAAGCAGGCAGAAGTACAAAGTGGTGACACGTTATTGTCCATGATTCCACAACACTTCCAGTCCTAAAGGAACAAGCCTAACAAGGCTCGCAAATAGTTACCCTAATTGTATTCTCTTTTATAATTAGAGAATACTTATTATAGCAATGCAGGTCATACCGGAAAATCTTGTGTTCGTATTTAAGATCGTCCTTACCATTTTGCCTTCCATCTTCTTTGACCATCCTTTTTTCCGGATATCATTGAGTTGCTCGCTATGGACCCAACTAAAAGATTTCAAAAATTGATCTCCTAAGGCTACTGTGGAGCAGAAAACTTGATATGGTTGTATCTCAGTATGGTCAGTCCAATTGATATTGTCTATCCTATCAACGGATAGATTCTTTCACTATCCGTTCTGAAGGAGTCAGTCAGAGAATAGTCATCAGGGACCTCATCCACCAAATGGCACAAAAGTCAACTTTGCACATAATCTAATGAAAAGAGCTGATAGAAAGCAATTCAATCCCCACTTAATTTTTTTTTTAAGAAAAAAAGCTTCAACTCAACAAAAAGCTTCAAAAGCAGCAACTATCATCATCAACTCTCAAGACATCTAAGCATTCCATAACCTCTCAACTATTGGATTCTTTTATGGCAGATCCACAGCGTTTGTAGGGCTCTCTACCTATGCAATATAGTACCCAGTCAAGATAAATGGCCCCTATTTATCAAAAAAGTGACTCAATTGGCTTAGACAATCTCTCAAGGGTACAAATACTAGGCATCAAGCAAATGAAAATCACTCTAAAGAAAAAACATTTGAAGAACTCAGCTAAAATATCGAGAAAACAAAAAAGGCAATCAAAGTCTCAATGGAACAAATACTACAATCTGAGGAAACGTTCCACATTTGAAACAACCAAGTAGAAATTTAAAGAGAAAATTGTGATTTCAATTTAAAAAAAAAATGCTCTATATTAGAGTTTTTCAAATCTGGTTTTGTCCTTTGATCACAAGGATGTGGAGATTAAAGTAATGAAGAAAAGGATTGGGCAAAAAATAGATTAATTAAAAGAGAAAAATTGTAAATGAGAAGGTGCAGACAATCTCAGGGAATGTTGATGAATTTATATCCTCACTAATAAAAAGCTCAGACAACACAGGCTTAAATATTATTTAATAATCTTATCAAGGAACGCGCTCATACATACAACCATTTGATTCATGCACAATTTACTACAAGAAAATCCTTCTCATTTTCGCTGGAACTTGATCTCTCTCCTTGTAACAGCTTAAAGTAGCTATTAATAATAATATTTTCTTTTCTTTGGAATTTATTTACCATAATCAACACGGAAATCAATAATAACTTAACTCTTGAAACAGTTAGCGCCTTAATGAATTAATTTAAGTTGAAGTTGCACCTATAGGTGAAAACCATATAAATCCGTTTTTCTTCGAATTTAAGATCCTAGAAATTTTTTGTGGTAACAACGTAGTAATCTTTTACAAATTATTCAAAAACCAAATAGCTTTTGTCTCAACTAGGGCTGTCAAAAAAGCTCGTTGTTCGCGAACAGTTCGTGTTCGATTCGCCAAAGTGTTCGTGTTCGATTCGTTCGATAAGCAAACGAGACGAACACGAACAATTTTTTTCGTTCGGTTTGCTAAACGAACCAAACACGAACAGTGATGCGTTCGTTCGTGTTTGAATCGTTATTGTTCGAAATAAAAAAAATTATATATATATATATATATTTTTTTATATTTTTAAAATAATTATATACTAAAAAAAATTAATATATTTTAAAATTTAAAATCTGTAAATTATAATGTAAAATAAATTATTAATAATAATAC